CTGTGGCTCAAGTGGTAGAGAGCTAGCCTTGAGCTGAAGAGCTGAGGGACAGCGCCCAGGCTGAGTTCAGGCCCCATGACCAGACCCAAAAAAAAAAAAAAAAAAAAAATTAACTGAGACAGATTAGCTCCATTCCCTCACCATTAGTACAATGTGTCTTGTTTTTCTTATTGTCCTACATAGAAACAAAAGTATGGGACCTTAAGTCTATAAAAAGAATATAATTGCATAAATTATTTAAACAAAGTAATTGTATAAATACCATTTGGTAAAACTTGTCAAAATGTCTGATAAAAATTATTTTGACAGAATTTAAGAAGCAATTATCTATAGTACTCAACATAAATGCTTTTCAGATTTCATCATGACTACTAAAGGATCTGCTGAAATGGTCACTTGGTAAGGTCACATGTTAAGAGACTAATGACTGACAAGTAGAATGCAGGCCCAATAGTAGACAGTGGTGGTATTTTGAGGTTTTGTTGTTTCATTTTGATGCATGGTTCAGAACTTCCTACCCATGATTGGAAAAAAACCCGCAATTGTTTGTAGAAGTCTGAAAATGCTCTGATGCATTTTCTTATCCCTGGGCACAGGTATATGACCTCATTCAATACATAAAAACACAAAAAAAGAGCTGAAATAAGCTGGACACCAGTGGTTTATGCCTGTAATCCTAGCTACTCATGAGGCTGAGATCTGAGGATAGCTGTTCAAAGCCAGCAGGGGAAGAATGTCTGTGAGACTCTTATCTCTAATTAACCACCAGAAAACCAGAAGTGGCACTGTGGCTCAAAGTGGTAGAGCAATAGCCTTGAGCTGAAGAGCACAAGGAGAAAGTTCAAAGCCCTACGACCAACAAAAAAAAAAAAAAAAAGAAAGAAAAAGAGCTGAAATTGACAAAATAGACATAATGCGTTTATTCTTTTAATTACAACAATTGTATGTCCATAATATTAGTACAATACAAAGAACAGAAATAATTTCTATTCCATTCACATAATAGTACTTTGATAGGTATCAACAGAAAATATTAGTCAGTAGGACTAGTTTCACTTTACTGGTAAAATGTGCTTATTTTTAGCACATTTTGCTATCATGAAGTTGATCTATACCATCTTTCTTCTTATTTATAATAGATTCATATAAATATTTTAAAAGACGAGTCTTGAGGGAATTATTTTTGTCAGAAGTATACCTCAGCATTGCTAGGTTATACCAAGAAAGTAATTTTCCCTTTATAGGCCTGTGATTGCTTATACAAAAATTTAGGAGACTGGGGGTGTTGAGATGGGCATTGGGACAGAAAAAAAAATTATGAGACTGAATGAGAGGGAGGCTTGTACACATCAATAGAGTTGCAAGCAGACATCGTCAATGGCTGCTAATGCGCAGGGCCAGGCAGCAAAGCCTGGTACATGTTGTAACAAAACACATCCTGCAGGGGGGGGGGAACTCTATGAGATGATCTCTAAATTTCTACAGTTCATTTATCAATTTATACATTGTGATATAGGCTATACACTCTGGTCCATTAATATTAAGCTTGACCATGGGACCTGCTAATAGCAAAAGTTACAAATATATGTTTTAAGACATCTGACATCTCCTTCTCCCTCTGCCATAAAAACTACAAAATCACAGAAAGGAGGGATGAAGATGACATTAAAAATACCATGGCCAAGCAAAGCTGGCCCATGTTTCCCAACAGGGAAACATGTCTTAGTTTTAAAGCAGAATCTAATAAAAACTGGGTGAATATAAGAATTTTCTAATAATTAGGTATCAATACACAGTTAAACTTTAAAACACAAAAATTACAACTTAGTAAAAAACATAAACTTAGACATAATGAAAATAAAAAGCAACTTTAGAAAGTAAAAACAAGGCAGGCACTGGTAGTTCATAGTAGGAATCCTATCTACTCAGAAATTGAGATCTGAAGATTCTGGTGCGAGGCCAGATCAAGCAAACAAAGCTGAGAGAGACTGTTATCCCTAATCAACCAGCAAAAAGCCAGAAGCGTATGATTCAAGTGATAGTGCAAGCCTTGAGGGAAAAAGCCAAGCAAGACTGCAAGACCCTGTGTTCAAGCCCCCATATCGGCATATAAAAAGAGTAAAAACAAAAACAGTATCTCTAGTAAAAGTAACTGTCTTAAACATTTAAACATGTATGTAGAATTTTTTTTGTGTGTGATTCCGGCTTGAATCCTTCAATGACTATTCCAAGTAAGATTCAATATTTTTTAAAGACTGTTCTTCAGCATCAAGATATTCCAAAATAATATTTCCACCATTATATAAAGGATAATCCTCTTTAGTAATCCACATTTCCAATGTATCATCCAAGGGTAAGGCTTCTCCTGAAGTACTGTGACATAATCTTAATTTCTGTTGAGAGAGAAATATATCATACCATAATAAACACACTTACTTAAGAGTGTCCTAAAACTTTGAGGGAAAAATATTATAACTTGATGTTACCTTAGCTGTTAACTTGTTATTGTCATTTTTAAGACTGGCTAAGGAAGCTGCAGAGTCTACAACCTTCCCTACGCTCCACCGGTGGCAAAAGAACATGGGTTTGCTCTTCTCTTTCCTCCCCTTTGGTAAGAAAACTTGAAAGTAAACTCTTTCTGTCTGCAAAAAAGAAAGTTAAAACACTGATTTATATATATGCTGTTAGACATTTGTTTGGTAATATCTCTTCCCCTATTTTTCAAGACATTAATGATGCATCTTTTATTGGGAAGACCACTTTTACAAGCCCAGTATCCACCTAAATGGGCATAAAACCCAAGGCCCTGGGGAAGGTGATCTGTACAAAGACTGGAATGTGACCAGTCAGGCCAATCAGGGTCTTTTGCTAAGATTTTATGGTCAGAAAGTGAGTAGCTAGGATTATAGGCCTGAGCCAACAGGTGCTTAGTTGATAGCAGAAATTTTGGGATCAAAGAAACTAGTGCTGCTTTCAGATCAGTTCCCACCACAATTTAAAAAAAATGGATACAACCAAGGCATCTTTCTGCATTGTCAAGTGATCACAATTATTTTAGACTCAACATTAATTTCTGTCTCAGAAGAGAGACTAAGGAGGTCAGTGAAGTGTGTTACTGTAAATAACCAGTACATAGGCACAAAAGAAAGAAAAAAAGGGAAGGAAGGAAGGAAGGAAGGAAGGAAGGAAGGAAAGAAGGAAGGAAGGAAGGAAGGAAGGAAGGAGAGAAAAGAAGTCACCATGACTAATGAGAGAGAGAGAGAGAGAAAAAAAAAAGAGAGAAAGTGAGAGAACAAAATTGGAAAAACCCACTCTGGGCCAATTCTATCAGCCCTTGTTCAAAAAACAAAGTAGTAAGGGTATAAATATAAAAAGAGAAATTTAGAAAGATATAGTATTATCTTTAAAAATGATAAATGTATCTGAGGATCAAAAATGAAAATACAGGGGAATCATGACTCTGAGACCAGCTTGGACTACAGAAGTTCTCTCTCAAAAAAGAATATAAGGTTATCTGGTGCCAGAAAATGATTCCATAGATCGGACCATGGGTGAGTGGGAACTAGCACAGAGGGAAGGACACACTTTCTCAACAGACTCACTGCTTATAAAGAGAAGCTCTAGGAAAGGCAATTAAAGAAGTGGCTACTGAATGGTGACTTAGGTCCATGTAAGTTAATTTTCAAGAAAGCAGAAAAGCATAGATAGAATCCTGAGAGTGAACTAAGCCAAGGCTCTTCAGCTTAGTAAAAGCATCTATCATAATCTGAAAAATCTCTGTAGAACAGAAGCACAAACTTGAAACCTCAAGTTTTAATTTGAAGTAGATGCTCTGGGAGAGTGGGCCAGGGGGAAAAACATAAAATAGGTAGAAAAGAACTGATGTGCAAGGAGAGGGATAGAAAGATAGAATGTCCTATCCAAGAATTATATTATTAGAAAAGGAACATTTAACAAGCTGGGCACCAGTGGCTCATGCCTAGAATCCTAGCACCCCAAGAGACTGAGATCTGAGGATGATGGTTCAAAGACAGCCTGGGCAGGAAAGTTCTTGAGATTCTTATCTCCAGTAAACTACTCAGAAAAAGCTGGAAGTGGCACTGTGGCTAGAGTATTAGCCTTGAGCAAAATAATCTTAGGGACAGAGCCTAGGCCCAGAGTTCAAGTCCCAGTACTGCAAAAAAAAAAAGTGACTGTACAAATCCACTTGGTATTAATATATGACTTAAAAAAAACAACTGGGAGGTGAAACAGAATAGGATATTTAAAAATCAAGTCCATATATAATATTTTAATATTTCAATTCAGTTGAGCAATTCAACTGAGCAATGATGATTTATTTAACCATTAGTGATAGAAAAAACTAAGAGTAGTCCAGTTCAAATATAAAAATAAAAATCTAAGGACTAGAGGAATGGCTCAGTGGTAAAGTACCTTCCTAGAAGCCCTGAGTTCAAATTCCAGTTCTGAAGAAAAAAAAACCATCAACTTTGCTGGGTACTGGTTACTCAAGTCTATAATCCTAGCCAGTTATGAGATTGAGATATGGAGGATGTTGACTCAAAGCCACCTTAGGCAGAAAAGTCCCTAATATTCTATCTCCAAAATAACCATCAAAAAGCTGAGTTGGGGGTGTGGCTCAAGTGGTAAAGTGCAGGTTAGTGAGCTGAGCAAGCTCACTGACTGAATTCAAACCCTAACAGAGGGGGAAAAATCCTGATAGATTAATGAAAACTGAAAAAGTTTAAAAAATTCTGGTGAAAACCAAAATAGGAATTAAATGATTTTAGAAAAATTGAGAACATTGATAGGTCAATGAGAAACCTAAGCAAAAATCAATACATTTGATAACTTTTGATCAATTTTAAAGGACGTTTCTAAAGCAGATTGATTATAAAGGCTTACTACCTGTTGTAGTCTGTTTCTATAAGTTGACCATGCAAATAAAAAGATAACTCAAATCATATCAAAGGATATGCATGGTTTAATCTTAATTGTCAACTTGATCAGAGTGAGAGACTCCTCCAGGATTAGGAAAGCTCTTTGTCTGGATTTGTCTGTTGTCTCCAGAGATGACTGGTATGTGGGACAGACAGTAACTGAAATCCACTACTACCGTCCTTCCCACTCCACCCCTGCTCCTCAGTTGCCATGAGAGAAGCTTTCTCTGAAACACAGTCCCACCACCATCATGCTCTATTTACAACATAGAAGTGTATTAAATGAGATTAAAAAATATAGAACCACAAAATAAGTAAAATGAAGTAAATAAGTAACAGTCCAGCTACATACATCATGGAATATGATCCCGCTTTTGAAGAACATGATGAAAACTGGGCACAGTAGCACAACTGTGTAATCCTCCCTTATGGGAAGCTGAGTAGGAGGATCACGAGTTTGAGGAAGCCTGCATTACATATCAAGACCTATATAAATACACACACGTATATACACAGACATGAATATGTGCATGCATTTTATGTGTGCATGTGTATATATACCTATTACCTAGGAATGTGAATATATATGCATGTACACACACAAATGCATATCCCCAACAAATCTATTTGCATAACACAGACAAGCAATTATGATAAGGGGAGTAGGTTTTATTTATAGACTTGTACAGCGTTTCATACACTCTCAAGCATATTCAGAACTGCTTGGTTTTCCCCTTACCAGCTATGCTGCTTTGAAGTTACTCAGTTTTTTGTGCCTCAGTTTTCTTATCTGCAACAGTACAGACCTCAGTCTGGTGCAAGGATGAAATGTATTAGAGGGTTGCTAGAAGGTAGATGCTATAAAAATTAATAATGCAAACAACATTAGATGCTTTAAGGTTAAGTGTTCCTGACTTGTTCAGTGCTAACATCTTTTTGGGGGGCATTGTTGGGAACTGAACCCAGGGCCTCAATGGTAGGCAAATACTCTACCATTGAGTTATACAACCAGGCTAATTGGACATTTTTGGACCAGAAAACTCTGATGCCAGCACTGCCCTCCACTTTGTATGATGTTTAGAGTATCCTTGACCTCTATGCATTAGATCTCAGTAGCACTCCAGCTCCAGCTGTAACAATCACCTGCAGTTGAGAATAACTGCTGGAGAGGGAAATGGGTGTGGTACATATGAAGGTATGTTTGGAGGTGTTTTATTTGTTGTTGGGGTGGTGATTATGGGGCTTGAACTCAGAGCCTGGGCACTGTCCCTGAGCTCTTTTGCGCCAGGCTAGCACTCTACCACTTTGAGCCACAGCTCCACTTCCAGTTTTTGATGTTTAACTGGAGATAAGAGCCTCACGGGAACTTTTCTTTCCCCGGTTGGCTTCAAACCTCAATTCTCAGATCTCAGCCTTCTGAGTAGCTAGGATTATAGGCGTAAACCACCAGAGCCTGGCACTGGAGATTTTTGTTTTTTAATGCAGCTTTTAAAAGTATATTGAAACCTTGGCAATTATAAAAACAGCTAATGAAATTTTAAAAAGGGAAATATTAAGGATAATTACTAAAATAAGAAAACTATAATCAATGTTATCTAAACCAGTAGGATGAAAAGAAATAACAAAATTCAAATGAAAAAGATGATAGGAAAGAGAGAATCAAAAGAATAACAAGTAGAAAAGGAAAGAGCAATTGAATAAACTAGATAAAAAGTACTGGCATGGAAAAATGCCAAGATAGGGAAAAAGGTATGATAAAAGATATATGTAATCACTATCATCTGTGTAAAGTAAAAAGAAAAAGCACCACAAAAGTTTGTTATTCATGAAGACCATATACCACGTGTTGCTAGGAATGATACATACCAAGTTTGTGTTAACTGTTATTTGATGAGATGGAGGAAGAATCAACCATGGAAATTATTTTGTTTTTCAAAATGTCTCAGACCAACCTGTGGCAATGACTTATCCCCATCGGCATGCATCTTTAATTTCATCAATGCAACCTTTGCGGCTGTCTCACTATTTTTGGCACCCTTCCGTCGTTTATTTGCTATCTCTCCTGTCTTGGACTCTAAGAAATAAGTGTAAGCATGTAAGCACTTATACATTACATTATATTATAAAACATTTATAGAATAAAGTCCTGGAACATTATACACACTAGAGATGTACATAAACCACATTGATTTTTGTAAGTATCATGTTCACAGACTAATGGAAAAATGTAATTGAGGTTGATCTAAGCAATCTCCACATTAAAAATTCACTGTTATGTGCCCCTTACAACTTAAGTCTATTTAATCTAAAGTGGCTACTAATGTTTCTGCAAGAAAAACTTCAGGATTTGGTTAGGAAGATTTTAATGAAGGCACTTTCCTTAATAGAGAATAACTGGCAGAAAGACTAATCTAAGTCACAGATAATATTGTTGTCTGGTAACTCTTATCAGTAGTAGTATTCATAGTATAGCTGAATAGGCTTATTATACTTCGTTCATTCTTTTTGTTTATTTCTTTTTATTAAGTAGTTGTACAAAGGGGTTTCAACTTCACGAGGCAGGTTATGAGTACACTGTATCTTGATCAATGTCACCCTTACATCTTCCTCTCTCCTATTTCCCCATCCCATCCCTGTCCTCAAATTAAATGGTTGCATTTGTGAAAAATATACATAGAATAATGACTGTATTTGTTCACCCTTCCTCTCTCCATTTGTGTATCACCCTGTTATCACTCTCCCCCCAACATGTATAATGTTTACAGAAAACAGTCCAGTCTATCAGTCTTATCACAGCAAACGAACCCATCTGGTTGGGTACTTCTATGTATTTCTAAGTTTTCATAGCTAAGATAGGCCTTATGAGGAATATCACAATAATGAATTTAAAATGCAAGCTACTGTTACTGAGCATGTTAATGACACCTATAATTGGTAAACAGATATAAGAGGCAAGGGCCCTGGAATTAACAGAATATACAGCAATAAGATAACCAAAGACATTTTCTGGTGGCTTACCAATAATGTCCTTAACAAGTTTCTGAGTAGCAGCCATACGAGGCTTTGGGATTTCCAGTTTTTCACACTCATGATCTGACTGATGACGATGTCTACAACCAACCAGACAGTGACAATAAAATTCATGCATTTGTACACAATTCAAATAGAGATACAAAGCTGAATGGTATAAGAGATAACCTTAGGCAAAAATTCTTCTCACAGAATGGACATATGACTGCCACAAGCTCCTTCTCAGTACAGTCCTTGTAGGAACATGGGTAAGATTTATGTGTATTTGTCTGAACTCTTTCATTGATTATAGTTACCTGAAAATGTAAAAAGGAGGAATATGCTATTATATTCACATCTAAAGCAAATATATTAATCCATTTAGGAAGCTACCTACTAGATCAAGTTATAAACTCTTATAAAAAATTATAGAGCTGGGGGCCAGGCTTAGGTAGTAGAGTACCATCTGTGAGCAAGGAAACCAAATGGGCTCAACGTCCTGAGTTCAAGCCCTATTACTAGAAGGAAAAAAATTATAATGCTTGTGGGAATTATTATGCTGACCATTCTACATTTTCATAATCTTCCTAATATGTTATATTGATCTTCTAAATTAAAACAACTACTTATTATATATATGTAGGTGTGTGTATATATATCTATATATATCTCTATCTATCTATCTATCTATCTATCTATCTATCTATCTATCTATCTATCTATCTATCTATCTATCTATCTATCCCAGGTTGGTCTCAAACTCACAAAACTCCTGCCTCAGCCTCCTGAGTGCTGGGATTACAGCCATAAACCATCAGCCAGGTTTATTCTTTGCTTTAAAAACTTTTTTTTTAGCCGGGCGCCAGTGGCTCATGCCTGTAATCCTAGCTACTCAGGAGGCTGAGATCTGAGGATCACAGTTCAAAGCCAGCCTGTGCAGGAAAGACCATGAGACTTCTACTTCCAATAAACCACTAGAAAGTGGTGCTGTGGCTCAAGTAGTAGAGTGCTTGCCTTGCGTTGAAGAGCTGAGGAACAGTGCCTATGCCCAGAGTTCAAGCCCTGCGACCGACCAAAAAAACAAAACAACAACAAAAAAAAAACAACTTTTTTTTAAAAATGAAACTAGGGATTGAAACCAGGGCCTAGTGTATGTTAAGCAATTAGTCCACAACTGGAGCCATTTTCTCAGCCCTTTTGTGCATGTATATTTGTAAACAGATAGCTTAATGCTATTAGTGGACCTCCTAAAGAGAAATGCTAAGGAATAAGAATTCTGAGGAAAAAGCAGGGCATCAGTGGTCCATACCTGTAATCCTAGCTATTCAGGAGACTGACGTCTAAGAATTGGGGTTCTAAGCCAATCTGGGCAGAAAAGTCCTTGAGACTCTTATCTCTAATTAACCACTAAACAGATGGAAGTGGAGTTCAAGTTACAGAGCTCTAGCATTGAGCAAGAAAGCTCAGGGACAGCAGCCACAGCCTAATTCATACCTAAGGATAAAATCTGTAAATACTAAAGTAGACAATTTTTTCTTTAAAATAGAAATAAATAATGTAAGCAAACCAAAAGCCTCTTTGTACAATTAGTTTAGGGTGCCAACGTTTTGTTGTTTTTTTTTTTGGTCGGTCATGGGACTTGAACTCAAGGCTTGGGTGCCATCCCTAGGCTCTTGTGCTCAGGACTAGCACTCTATCACTTAGAGCCACAGCCCCACCTCCTCTGGTACACTGACTAGTTTTATTTCTAATCAAATTCTGAATCAAATTACATGAACACAAACATTTTATCAGATAAGAAAAAATAAACATACCTCAGGACAACCATGAGAGTCCTTGCTTCTGTGTTCAAGGCTTGAATAATTTTTAAAAAAGTGTTTATTTAAATGCAATTAAACAAAGCACTTAAAGATAAGCTGAACAATCTGAGCTTTTTAATGACTGGCATCCTTAAGAAACATTACACTCACACTACTGTTTATGCAAGAATGAGCTAAAAGGCCAGATATGTTAAAGATGGAGTATGCACATCTTCAGAACTGAAACACAAATATTCAACTTCAGCATGAGTAAAAGCAATTCACCACTCTTAATTACGTCTGCTTTGAGTCATTTCAAGTGTATAAAAGTACAAATAAGTCTTTTAATCCCCATTATTCTTTAAAGAATCAATAAAATCATCAGTAGTAAAACATCGAGGAGTGTTTCAATCTTAAGTGATTTTAAAAAATACATTACCTTTATTTACTTCTAACGTATCTTCCTCAATTATATTCTGAAAGATATTTTTTCTGTGTCTAGTTTAATAAGTGAAATGCTAAATGTAAAGAAAATAAGTTTCGGGGCTGGGAAGGTGGCTCAGTGGTAGAGCGCTTGCCTTGCATGCCTGAGGCCCTGGGTTCGATTCCTCAGCACCACATAAGCAAAAAGAAAAAAGCCG